CCCGGCCGCCGCCTCCTCGCGCTCAGCCACCTTGCGCCGCAGCAGGCTGTTGACGCCGGGGAGGCTGTCGGCCCCCGCGTGCGTCACCAGCACGGCGTCCACGCGGTCCACGTGGCGCACCAGTTTCCAGAAGGTGGCCTTGGGGTTGGAGCCTCCGTTCACCAGCACAGTGAAGTCGCTGACCGCGAAGAAGGCGGCGTCCCCAAGGCCCCCGGGGAAGATGTAGCAGCACGGCGGGTCGAGCTTGAGAAAGTCTCCGGAGGACGGCGGCTCCAACAGGTCGAAGGGGGACGGGAGCTCCAGGGACCCGGCCAGGTAGTCCAGGAGCTCCTGCAGCCCGGCGGAGGCCGGCAGCCGCGCGGCAGGGTTGAGCCGCAGCCGATGCCCGAGCAGGTCCGGCTCAGTGGCGCCCAGCTGCGTCCAGTCCCCGAAGGGCGGGCAGCCGAGCGTGAGCGTGGGCGGCTCAGCCGGGGCCGGAGTGCGCCTCAGCAGGTCCTGGATCTGCAGTGAGGTGTGGGAAAAGGCCTCTGCAGCCAGAACACCGGCCCCAAGAAGCTGCCAGCCCCTAGGAAGCGTCCTTTGCCTCCCCAGAAGGCCCAGCCTCCATGCCTGGGGCCACGCAGCCTCTCCCGCCTCAGGACCTTTGCACTTGCTTTCTACCCAAGAACACCCCAAGACCGACTCTGTCCTGCCTTCCTCATCCATTTGGCCCCATCCATGCCAACTGCAAGCTGAAACCTGGAGGCCACTTCCAGCCTCAGGGCCGCTGAGGTGCAGGCCCAGCTGCGCACTGCAGTAGCTGATTGCAGTACTGAGGCCTGAACCCGGACATTCCCCCCAGAACATCCCCAGCTCTTCTTCTTTTTTACTTTGAGTCAGGCTCTCCATCTCACTAGGTTGCTAAGCTGTCCAGGTGGAGTTCAAATTCATGATCTTCCTGCCTCAGCCTCCCAGGATGTTGGGATGACAGATGTGGGCGAGTACCATGCACTTTCCTGCAAGGTGGCAGTGGTCCCTGACCCCAAGGGACACCGAGGGCACTGCCACCGTGCTACCAAGGAGGGGCTGTTGGGCCTGCAGCCCTGGGGAGGAGCCAGAGCTCAGTGCTGGGGGGCAGCTCACCTCCCTGTCCTCCAGCACCTGCAGGAAGTGGTGGGATGAGAACCCCCCCGTCTGCAGCAGCAGCTCCCCAGTCTCCTCCAAGCAGGGCCCAGCCAGCACCAGCAGCTTGTGGGGAGCAGGCACCAGCAGAAGGTTCCGGAGCTGGGGACAGCGCGAAAGGTCTATGCCATGCGGCCAGCACTGGACACTCCCTGGCCCCCAGCCACACCCATCGCCAGTAGGAGAGGAGGCGCTGGGCTCCACGGGGCTACCTGCCCTTTCCGGCGCCCTGGGGCCCCGTCCTAACGTGATGGCCAGGCCCTCTGTGCCTGGCTCTGCTCCCCCTCTGGCCTGAGAGCCCCTCGAGGAGTGCAAGGGCTCAGCACAGGGGGCACCCCCAGCGGGATGCCCCAGGGCTCTGCCCGCTTCCTGCTCCTGATGCAGAACTGCCAGCAGGGCCAGAAGCCACAGGACACAAGCGGGACTGGGATCCCACCCCCCTTCAGACCTCCATGGCCCCGGGCTGGAGGTGCTAGGCCCCCCTGAAAACACCCACCTCCCCGCCAAGGTCTGGGACACAGCTGGGGCGGCAACCACGAAGACGGCGCCAGTGCTGGGCATCTGGAGACATTCCAGGCTGCAGAGGACCGGGCCGGGAGGGGCCAGGGGACCGCACCGCCACGGCTGCTCCCGCCTACCTCGTCACACAGGGACTTGTCCGAAGGGTTCAGAAGGACCAGTGTCTCCAGGGCATCTCCGCGGTGGTGCAGGCTCCGCTGGCCTGCAGGGCAGGGGGCCGGTCAGGGCCAGGCCGGCCAGAGGCAACGCCTTCCTCCCCGTGCGACCCTCCGCGAGCACAAGGCCTCAGGGACCCGCCCCCAGGTCACACTGCCGACCTGCAGGTCCGGGTGAGGGCGGCACACGAGCAAACCTCCACCCAGCGGCTGCGCCCTGCAACCGGCGGCCCCCCGGGTGCCCGCGCGCCCTCC